CTATTGACGTTAGCGAAAAATTTTTACATGGAAATTGTAGATCTCGTCGTCCTCTACAAGAAAGATCTGATGCAATTTTCCCGTATCTCCAACGGTTTAGAAAATATTGGCCAAAAACGAAAATTTGGAAGAAATTGAAGGGGTACCCCTTGGAAAAATCTCGGAAAAATCGAAAATTTTTTTTTGTTGTTTATTATTAGCAATGTTCTTCCGAAATCTGATTTCTTTTTAAAAAATGCGTTTCTAAAGTGTATAAACTTTTGGGATTGACTGTATAGCCAATACATCCTTAATTCCGAACGCTGACTCTCATTCCCAGTAAGTGGAATCAGTCGGCTTGGGTCGGCCTCGCTTGTCTCTAAGATGACTCATTATCGAGCAGCAGCAGCAGCATCTATCTTCAACAACCAAAGTACGGTCTTAACAAAAGGTGCACGTAACCGTCGGGCGTAAGGAATGCGAGGAAAGCGGGAATAATTAATACTCGAGGCACATATTCGCGCGGAGACGTGTGCTACGTGTTGTACATCGTGTAAAAAGTACGATCATGCGAGAAACGCGTTTCAGGAAAACTAGGTACACACTTATATATGGGTATACCTTCCCGCTTACGTTCATAGAAATTGCATTCTTTCCCGGTTTAGAAAGTGCATGTACAAGTGGACACGTGTGTACGACGGATTTCACAGGAATTAATTAATTTGCTCGTACGCCGAGTTTTGAACCCGTTCGCGATATGCTTTAAGAATTTCGTAGGCAAACGTAACGACGACTGCTGCTATATCAAAAGTAGATTTGCGTTCAGCCTTTACAGAAGGGGAAGGGGTAAAAAATCTTTCTGGCACGGTGGAATGATTGCACGCTGGTCGATCTCGTTTCCTCGATGGACAGGAGCGAGCGAAGTTTGGAACACGATTACCGTAATCCTTACTAATGGCATTTAGGAAACTCTCCGATCCGTGAAGGCATCAGATTTTTAATTGACTCCGTAATCCGTTCGGACTTACGCGATTCGTTGAATTTCACGCGTGCCGCGTTACCCGATGAAAATACGCGACCGAGGCCACGTTGTTCCACCGTTGTAATTTCTAACTGGCGAGTAAAAAAGAAGGAACGCGGCATGTTAAATAAATGGAGAAAATCGCGTGCACGTGACTCGCCACCGCGCCTCGTCGCAACGGTTTATCCCAGAATTTTTTGGCGTTTCACAGCAAAAAATCGTGTAATTGCTACGTTGCGGAGATTGCGAGTAGAAGTGAACCGAGGGTTAATTTCAATCCAAACGCGGATAATAATCTCGTTACAGAATTACCTATTATCGTCGCATAGAAATAATTAATTATTTCGTACGTCGTGTCAAAGCGACTGTTTAAAAATGAAGTCTTTTCTCTCCCATTAACAAGATGGGATTTCGAATAGACGCGAGAAGTGAAAAGAGCCGGTTCAAAGGTAATTCTCAGTAGAACGGTGCCAGAGGAAACTGTTTCACGAGCGCGATATGTATAATTGATATACGGTTAAAAAATTGCAAAGCTCTAAATGGGAAGGAACGGTGCCGGCGCGGATAATGCGAATTTAATGAAGATCTCGCGGGCCGAGCTCGAGCTCTTTTCACGACTTCACCGAGGCATTTTTAATCAACTAGAATAAGAAGATGACTAAACATAGCTACACACGCGCGATTCACTCCAGGCATCGCGAGATCGCCAAGTGTCCGTACACTCGACACAGAAAGAGTCTCTTCGCTCGTAAATAAAACAGTGGATGTAGAATAACCGTGAGACGGAAGATCCGTCTACCGCTAAACAGATCCATCACAAAATCCTATTACAGGCATCCATCTTTCACGGTTAAACAATCGCGAAGTTCTATTATAAATAGAAAATGAGATAAGGTCTATCGCAAAATTGCATTATGGTGATTAATTCGATATCGATTTTGAAAATGCATTTTAAATTGCATTAAGTGTTAAACACAGTTTATATTTTATACAAATGGAATTCGTAGTTCAATAATAATCGTGTAAGTCACTTTTTCGAACTACTAACACTAATACGTTTAAATATAACGTGAGGTTCTAAGTTATCTCCCTTGCAAACCTATAGCAGCACGACGTAGGTCTGTTAACAGAACAGCTGTACCATTTCCGACACTACGACTTTTACCCCTTCGTTGAAAGAACCGAAAATAATAAAAAGTAGAATCATTTGGTTGGATCATATTTCCCGTTGCATCGAACGTCGAGAGAATCTCAAGTTAAAAAGGAGAACAAAATGAAAAATCGATGGGAGCCTCGCGTACTCACCTTGATTACTATAAATCACACGCGTGGAGACGTGCAACTCGATTAATCCTCCGTTCGCCGTGGAACAATTCGATCACAAAATCGATATATAATTATCGGACGTTAATTTCGCACTGATAGGAACGAATGAACGCGAGAGACTGGTGAGTTCAGATTCGAAAAGTGCGGTATTCGCTCGCAGGTACAACGCGCCTTTCGCCCGCTCAGTCCGCGCCGAATGACGTTCGTATACTGTCCTGGCTCGGTGCGTTCGGCGGAGCCGGCCTCGTATGATGACCCCCTTCTAGAATTCTACGGCCCTGTCGACGTACGCCAGCCTCTGGACACAGCCGTAACACCGTGAATTCTGCGTCAATCCTGTTGTTACACGCGTTCGAACGATTTTTAGCAAACGAAATTTCGCGAAAATTGAAACGCGAACGGATCTCAGATCGATAGGGAAATTCGCCGTGCGTCGCGACGTCGGTCTTTTCCCAGCATAACGTCGCTTCCCCGAAACTGTCCAGGATAGTTTTGAAATTAAAATATAATCGCGAAACTTTCGAGCGTTTCATATTTCATACGTCACAGGTAATTAATACGATTTGTCACATTTTATGTTCCTCGTCTCGTTTCATGAATTTTTACGGCGATTCAGTGACGTCCCTTCGTTTCCTATGAATAAAAACTGCGTGTCGGGAGTTTTTACAATCGGAGGGAATTCTTTCTATCGATCGGGTCTGCGTTTATCGAATACTCGGTCGTCCACGTGAATTTAGTTATTCGATAAAGATTAGCGGTATAAAAGCCTGTTGGCGTAAAAATAAATTCCAACTAGATTTCGCTGCTGTTACAGTTAGTACATTATGTCCGATATAAGTTCCGCTAATCTCTCGTTTCATTTATAACAACGAACGTTTAACGTACCGCTCAGTCTGCACGTCCTTTCGGTGATAAATCATAATGTCAATCAAAATGTATAACTGCGATCTCGATTGCGTAGCAATTTCTCTCTTTTTTGCATTCGAAGTGGCGAGCAGTTACGGATCAACCAATTTCCCATGAATCGTTTTGCACAATCCGGCTGCTATCAACCGGAAACATAAAAATTGATGATGTTACGTCCCGGTGCTTATATTTCAATAATAGATGAAACGGGCGATCGATCGACCAGATGACCCAAAACCATCCGGAATTACACTCCGTCGCTGCCAATAGCCTTTACCAGAGATCTTCATCAGTGTATCGAAACGTGACATCTTCATTTATTTAATACCTGTATTATTAGTAGCAGCAGTCTACTGAGTTTACTGCCTTGTCATTGCTCTTTACTCTGGGACAAATTAACAGACGGACAGATTCTGTTTTGGGATTCATTACACATATAAAGTCACTCCGATTAATATACATGAATCTACGAATAGCATGTTTCAAATTAGAAATTAAAAATGTTTTTATTCGAGACGAATAGCAACTATGTTAATTTATTGATAAAAATTACAAAATAAATTAACTTTCAATACCCTAAATGACTTTAAGCTGTTCGATCCAATATTAAAAAAGTGATTCAATTTTTAATCGGGTACGAATATTGATACTATTTCTACCGATGTCAAAAGACACCTGAAATGTTAGCTTAAAATTATTCTTACTAATTTAATACTTTTTCATCAATTACATTTTTGGCTTTTCCTATACTGGTTATTAAATTAATTAATTAAATCGAGGAAAAACTAATGATAATAATTTTAGGCGAAAATTTCAAAAGGTGTCTTTTGACATCGCTTCATGGAAATAGTGTTAATAGGCCGTGTAAAATATCGTAAAGTTTGATTCTCGTTATTAGGCGGTATTATTTTCCCCCGATCGACGAGATGAGGCGGAAAGCGGATAGCAGCAGCGAGAAAAATTCATGCGGCTCGCACAGACGCGTCCGGAATTCGATTCTGGAACGTATTGCACCTCCGACTTTACGGTACTCCCGTAGCATTGCTCGTAGACACGAAAAAGTGCAGTTGCAGCGAGCTGCATCCGCATAGAGAGGCGAAGAGCCAACGGCGTACAGAGGGACACCAAGGAGGGAAGGAAAGGTGGAGCGGAGTACTTATCGTGCCGTTGCACACGCTGCTACACGCCCATCGTTTTCTTGCCTTCCATTTTTCTCGCCGAAAGGATCCGGCGTAATTCTAGCGCGCACGCTGAAAATTAATGTGGTTCGGCGGTGGTACGCGCGGAATTCGATCCGGCAACGACGACCCGCTTCTTCACCTTTACGGTACCTCCGCGATATCCTGCGCGGCGCCGGCATGGAAATATTCAGTGAACCGCGCCCGTTGCCGTTCCACGATATCCTCCGCGCTGCTCTCGTTGCAAACGGATCCGCGAAACGCACCGTTGTTTCAACGAACGTAAACGTTTCGCTGCCTCGACTACTTCCCCCTTGATCCTCTCCTTTTTCACCGGATAGAAACTAGCTTCGGCATTTGAATTCGCATTTGAATCCGCATTTGAATTTCGTGTTCGAAGTTTCTCCTCGCACGGCCTATGAAAGGTTTCGAGAAATTCGAAGAGGATTCCGCGGAGATTTAGTGCCTAGTTCGGGCCACCTAAATACGAGTTTCAACTCTCACGACTCTGTAGAGTCCAACGAAAAAGTGTAACACCTGCGGAGAGCGGTAAATATCGAGCTGGAACGGGGGCGCTTTGAAGCTGGAATTAAAGAGGCGCCCGTTTAGGACTTTTTGGCATGCCTCGAGCGGTATATGTATGTAATATCGAAATGCGCGGAGGAACGATTCCGCTTTGATAATCAAAGGGAATACTTCTGCCTAATGGTATTCAAATGGGAAATCGGTCGCGTACAGTTACACAGTTTTACATGTATGTTACGTAAATTGGAACTCGAGGTAAGGGAACGTGGACTGACAATTGCCGGGATAACTGCGAACGAATCATGAAATTCAGCCTCGATCGTAAATTCCGGTGGAACTACGCTCGATCAACCGCGACGAGCCAGTGCACATATGTACGTTGCACTCTACGCATCAAATTTATTTTCAGTCATTCCGAATGGAGTCATGCTCGTCGAGTGGACGCGAACGCGAACGTTACCAATTTAGAGAAGTAGGAGGATACAGACGGACGATGGAACAGGGACAGAGGACGATGGACGAGACGCTGCTCTCCGGGTTGTATGCTGTTCCAACATTCCTAGGTGGCCCCGAGGCGCTAAACGAAGTAACCGTCATCGCGAGGAAAGGCCCAGTGACCGACATTCCCCTTTCCATTCTTCCTGATACTCCTTCGCCCGGATCTCAAGTACGACACACGCCGACGACGACCTGTACCAAGTATCGTAACCGGAACCTCTGGAACCTTCGCCCTGAATTTCCGTGCGAGCCGGCCGCTCTCTCGTGCCCGAGGTCAAACTTTTCAGTCGGGCTAAAGAGTCTTGGGAAAAAATCGTATCTTCAAGAAATCTCAAGTTCACGAATCTCAAGACATATTATATAACCGAATGCGTTTAAACGAACGCAAGCTTTTCGTGAATCATTAAAGGAAGACAACAATGTTATCTGCATTATATAATTATGGATAAATTTGTGGTCCAATCTTTTTTTTTTTAATAAAGAGATTCTGTGAAACTATTCATGGTTCATTGGATGATTCGTTTCTTAGAACGCTCGCGTACAGTTACGAAATTACGTGTATTCTATTTTCCCCTCGTAAAAACTGGAGGTCGGAGTCCTACATTTCTTTTTCATCAGCAGCGAACGAAACGCGAACAATGAAATTTTAATAAGCGATCTCCAGTTTTTTAATACTTCTCCATCTCGGTCGAACTAAGCCGTAAAAACGTATACACGAGAACCTGAGGCGTGGCTTTTGGCGAAATCCGGAGAAGTTCATGAATGCATTACATACACGTGTCAAGAACGAGTAAAAATTTGTACAGAAATCGTAATGAGAGAAATAGTTTTCCGTAATGAAAGCATGGAACACAATAGTAAACTAATTTCATATTTCGCACGGATCCTCATATGCTTTATGAAAAAGTTTCCCTACGAAATGCGTAGCGCACGTTCTATATTTTAACACGTGCCCCATCATACGTTCTCGGAGTAGGTGCATACACAGGTGTGAGTTATCGTACTGCAAGAAGTCCGCGTGTAAAAAAGGCGAACTGCAATATCTCCTTTTTCGTTTACGGCTGACTATATATTACGCCTTCCCGATCGATATACAATTTCAATCCTGATTTCATTACCCGTATAGAGGTAAACGTAATTAGTGGTAACAGTAATCGTCACTCGACCATCGAGCACACTGCGAATTTTATAGCCACCCTACACCATGTATTACGGTCCCCGCGTGTATGTACGTACATATGTACCACGAAAGTGCGCCCATACATGTCGTAAATGGACGAGTGCCTGGGGAACGTATATCAATTATCCATCTTATCAACACAACGCCAGGAGCCTTGTCATTATTGGCATGCCGCGAGGGACAAGCAAGTCCGTGTTTGCTGCATCGGGGCTCCGTGAATTACGATGAACTAATTACGCTCGTGTGCGTTAGGAACGGCTACGTGTGTTCTCTGTTACGGAGGGACAAGTTAGCGTCGCTCAAATGTCCGTGAAACGATGCCAGAATTAGATATGAGTTCAATTAAAAATGATTCGATAAACGAGCCGTGATGTATTAAATGATAGACAGCTTTAATATTAAGCGTCATCGTTTTGTATGAAAGATACGTCAATTTTGTTCGTCAATGTCCATTTCATTACTTTACAACATCGGAATATACGTTTCAATGCATATTTAATTTGATTTTAAACATGATGACGAGAACACGATCGTTCCGTCTTTAAATTTTCGTATCCGTCTCCCCACTTGCGCGCACCCTGCGCAATCTCTGGATCAACCGTTGAGTGCGCACATGCTTCCACGTAAGTGACAGGCACTGTGCGATATTAACCTCCCGAAAGATCTAAATGGGCATCGGTTCTTCTTAATTTTCAAATTTCCTAAGTATAATCGTGAACTCTTGAATAAGAGTCGTTGGGGAAAATGGTGTCGGTCTTAAATACGGTCGATACCGGCCACGAGGACATGATTCATGACGCGGAAATGGATTATTACGGTTTAAGATTGGCCACTTGTTCCAGTGACAACTCCGTGAAAATCTTCGATTTGAAGAACGGGTCGCACAGTTTAGTAGCCGACCTCAAGGGGCACGTTGGACCCGTATGGCAGGTCACCTGGGCACACCCGAAATTTGGGAATCTGTTGGCGTCTTGTAGTTACGATCGGTACGTGACTATCTCTGGGTTCCTCATCACAGACTTTGTATATGTATATTTATTTTGTCCTAAAATCACGCATTATCTCCTGTAACAGGAAAGTGATTATTTGGAAAGAACTCGGAGAATGGACCAAGATCTATGAGCACACTGGCCACGATTCTTCCGTCAACTCAGTAGCTTGGGCACCGCACGAGTTTGGTTTGGTTTTAGCCTGCGGTAGTTCTGACGGTTCAGTGTCTATACTCACCAATAATGGAGACACTTGGGACACGCAAAAGATCACGAATGCGCACTCCATTGGATGCAATGCTGTCAGCTGGTGCCCTGCTATAGAACCCAGTCTCGATGCGAACGGAACGCAGAGAAATGGTTTGGTGAAGAGATTAGCCACAGGCGGTTGTGACAATTTAGTTAAAATTTGGAAGGAAGAGAACGATAGGTGGATAGAAGAAGATAAACTGGAAGCACACAGTGATTGGGTGAGTATCTATTATTTTCACGTTGTACATCGAAGAATGCATAAGTGCTTTATTTGTTGCAGGTAAGGGACGTTGCATGGGCACCTGCGGTTGGACCGTCGAAAGCTGCTTTAGCATCCTGTTCACAAGATCGTCGCGTGATTATATGGACTTCGAATGATTATACCAGCTGGACACCAACTATCCTCAATGTTTTCGATGATGTTATTTGGAACGTCAGTTGGTCGTTGACTGCAGGTATTTTAGCAGTTAGCGGCGGAGACAATAAAGTGTCCCTTTGGCGCGAGAACACCGAAGGACAATGGATGTGCATATCTGAGACAAATAAAGGCCAGGGGAACCTTAATAACACCGATCAACGCGCGTTATAATATTCGAGGGTAAAACATAGGATAATATTTTCTACCAATAAGAATTGTAAATTAAAAATATCATTCAATATTAATAACAACTTTATTCCGTTTGTTTTGTACTTTTATTATACATCTTTACATGAAGAAATATGATTTGCCAAATCAAACTAAATTCCTGCATTTTTTACGCTTGTGACGAAGGAGTAACTTGTACAGTTTTTAAACATAATACGCTTCATTAATGATGTATAAGTTATAAAAATATATATATATTTCTCATTTCATCGAAATCAAAAATATTCCGAACGTTTCCATGTATAGAAAAAATTATATGTACATAGGTTTTGTTAAATTAACTTTGTGTATAGAGAGACGCTGCGAAAACAATATCCCTTTTAATGGCAGTAGAAGCTTCTTCCATTTTTTCTTTTAAAACGGGGTCTCCTATGGTGACAGCTGCATTTTTAACATCCCGTAAAGTTTCGCTCAACTGCTGTATACACCGTACTATGATTCCTTCTTGCACATCCGTTTTCTCCATAATTTCAGCAAACGATTTCGCCTGCGCCCAATCGTAAACTACTTCCACTAGACCGAAGTTAAGCGACTGTAACGTTGCCAACTGATAATGTTGTTCTAAAGCTTCTAACTCGCCATGGATCTGCTTTATTTCTTCACAACTCTGCAGCAAAGAAAGATTATTTAAAGATCCTCGTAAATATAGCTAATCTGAAAAATTCTTAACTCCAGGAAATACCCTTTTCAATTCCGCTGTTAAGTTTGGCTCGACGTTGGTCCGTTGTCGAAATATTACGGCCGAGAGTAACGCTGCTATTTCAGCTGGTTGCAAAACAGTCAATACATTCTTAAGAATAAGCTCTGTAATTAGAAGTTCGTTACTTCCCATTTGTAGAGCGACTCGGCCTTTCAATGCAACTGTAAAAAATATCAAGCAAAAATGTTACATACACTCTTATTGATAATCCTTATGAGCTATTAAGATTCAAACCTCTTTCATCATTGTCTATGTATCCTAAATCTCTGAGAAGTGCGACGGCATTCGTGTATTCAGGATATAAGCTCAGTCCCTCATCGCTAAGTTTCAATTGAAGTTTATTCTTCTTACTTTCCAATTCGCTTCGTTCAAAGACGACCTCGAATTGTTCTTCGAAGTTTAACATCTTCGAACATGTCATAGCGTACACAGCTTTTTTCAAGTCGAGCAAAGTTTTCACTTTCATGTCGACGTCGTAATTCATTTTCATCTCCGTATACGGTTGCAGGATGGACTCGTCGCGAGAAGCATTAAGAGATACCATCAGTAATTCTAACATAGCTGACTCGTAAGTTGAACTAGGTGGCTCATCTCTGGAAACAATCCAAACTCGAATACTTCGTAAACTGCGAATCAATTGAAGTTCGTTTTACTTACTTAAATCTTGCTATTTGTCTCTTTTCCCAATTGCCCAAAACCAACTGGTAATCTATCTTAATCTGCCAATTTGTTATTTCTAATATATTCCAAGCTGCTATAGTTAATACTTCGCCTGTTGGTACTCCGGTTGGTACGAATATTCCTGTCTTTGTCAAAGCTATGATATCGTACCATTTTTCCGGTTTCTTAATCTGATCTTTTTCTTCCGATGGTGCTTCTCCTTCTTTGGTAGATTTTGGTGGCTCTGTATCTTTGAGAATTAACACTCTATATTGCTGACTGCCTTTCAATTGGACGGTGCTTAATAACAGGGCTAATTTATTGTAATGATTTTCGTACGATATCAGCAGAACTCTGCCTGGCACTAGGCACTTCACTGCCTTCTTCTGCGTCTCGTAAAAGTACGGCTTCAAATATTTCAAGTATTCTAAATAGTCAACGGCTACCCGATAAAACTCGGCTAACTGTTTTTGTACGTCAGTCAAAGGCGGTAGTTTTAACAATTCGTTCTCCACCTTTTGCAATTCTGTCTTATAGCTATTCTGTTTTATAGCCACCGGCGATTCTTTAAATGATCTCCGCATCATCGCTTCAACCGTTACCGATTCGTTTAGCCTTCTTAAATTTAAAACCATCGAATAAGTTACTTTGAATTTCGATTCCAAATTCTGCGCTTGCCCGCACATCATATTTTTCAGCTCGTTAAAATGCGGAACGGCCGTTCGACACATTACCACAACCATCCCTGCTGTGTCGTGACCCCTGCGGCCAGCACGACCAGCCATTTGTATGTATTCGGTGGGATGAAGTATCCGGAAATTCGTACCGTCGAATTTTTTAATTGAATCAAAGACAACGGTATGCGCCGGCATGTTTACACCCATTGCGAACGTTTCGGTCGCGAACAGTAACTGCAATTTCGAAAATATTTTAATCTCACGGAAGAAATAAATTAGAAGCTTATTCGAAATCGATCGGAAACTGACCTTAACGACGCCGTTTTGAAAAAGCATTTCGACTATCTCTTTCAAGATAGGCAGTATACCACTGTGGTGGATACCGATTCCACTCTGTAGTAACTCCTGCATCATAAGAACCTGCGGTAACTGTCTATCGGTGCCTTTTAAATGCCGAATATTATTTTGAAAGAACACCCTGATAGTATGCTTCTCAGTCTCTGTCGTGAGATCGATGTTCCTCAACAGTACCGCGCTCATGTCGCATCGTTTTCGTGATAACATGAAAACGACGACGGGCAACATAGACTAGAATGAAGAAGTTATTTATACGCGTTTACGTAAACGGAAGAACTTCGATGTTAGCTGCATTAATCGTACGTTGGATTTCAGATGACTTATGAACGCGTTCCATAGTACTTGTTCCTGCTTCGGAGTCATTTGTGTTTGCATCGGTTTCTTTTTAACGTCCTTAACGTTCTTGCTGACTGGGTCCTTTTTCGGATCCTTCGCGTTCGTTGCTTTGTACCAACTATGCGAAAATATTTGTATACACGTGAATTTCTAGCACTCGGACTGTGCGTTAAAAAGAAATCAATAGTTACCCGTTTAATAAGAATTCATTGTTTTCGTCTAACACCAAGAATTTTTCGTCCTTGGTCTTCCCGTTGGTTCCAGTGTATAAGTAATGCTGGAGCGGTACAGGTCGTTTTACCGTACTTATCACATACATCTTTTTTTTCTTCGTACGACCTACCCAATCGGCAAATATCAAAGGATTTGGCACAGTCGCGGACAGCATTACTATTGTAACTGTTTGCGGTAGTAAGATTACACTTTCCTCCCAAACGTGACCGCGCTAAAACAATACGACATAACGAAGTGTTTTCTAATAATCTTTGAGAAAAAAGTTCCATAGCAGTCAGTTTAATTCACCTCGTCGTTATTTATATAATGCACTTCATCAAATATTACGAATTCTAAATCCCTTAGAACTTCTGACGCGCAATATAACATGGACTGTAAAATTTCTGTGGTCATGATGAGACACGAAGCGTTTGAGTTAATTTGCAGATCTCCGGTTAATAGTCCAACACTTTCGAATTTTCTTTTAAATTCGCGGTACTTTTGATTTGAAAGTGCTTTTATGGGAGACGTATAAATGACTCTGTAGGAAATCAGATCGTAGTAGTATCGAATAATTGAAGTTCAATTACTAAGTTTTACCTCGTCATGTGTTTCTGACTTAACGCGATCGCGTATTCGGCTACCGTTGTCTTTCCAGCGGACGTATGAGCGGCAACGAAAACGTTACTGCCTTCCTCTAACTTGAGGATCGCCTGTTTCTGGAAAGTATCCAATTCGTATGGAAAACTCATAGCAAGCGTGGGAATCCGTTTTTCAAAATCGGTTATAGGTACGGATACATCTAATTGCTCCGCCCATTCAGACTTGGCAGTCTCTACACGTTTCTGAGAAATGTTTAGTATAGGAATGTCCACATCCTCTAGCAACGAGGAAATCTCGTCGAACGATGACTGTTCAACAATAGACGATTCAGTAGTCGCCTCTCCCTTTGTTTCTCTAGCTTCCGGTTCCCAAAAGTCGAATTCACTTCGTTCTTCGTTCACGATAGACATCAAATTGATCTTCTCAGCTATAGTTGAAATTTCGTCCTTTTCTGAGTCAGATGCTTGATGCTCTTGCACGGTCTCTCCTTTTGGAGTGTAATTATCGCTTTTAAACTCTACGCCAGCACTGAAGCCCTTCGCCAAAGTTCTTAAATTATTCTCAAAATCGATCTCTTCCATCGAAGGGTCCACTATCATTTCAGGTTCGTCAAAACCACCGGGCCAGAATGGAATATTGCTGCTGTCTCCTAAATAAAGTTTGTAGCTTGTGACATATGAATTGAATGTCTCGGAAACCTATTATCTTCTTTCAGTCAATGAAATACCTCTGATATCAGTAGGTGGGCCTGGTGCACGAGTCATGGACATTGAATTTCGTGAATTCTCGCCTGCTGACCTTACCAGCACCTCGTGCATTTTTCCAAGCTGTCCAGTAACAGGATCACGATCAAATTTTAATGTAGTACCAAGCGGTGCTAAGTCACAGTCTAAGAGAGACAAAATATCAGTCTTCCTCGACCAATAACACTGAGCATTATCCAAGTGATATATTGGAAGATTATCCAGACATTCTATATACTCCTTCAATTCAGTTCTAATGTCAGGCCAAATAGGTGGCAAATCAAATTTTACCTGCAAGATCATTCAGTTCAAATGATTTAGATTTGCAAATTTTCTTCAGAAGATACATCTGAATAAACTTAGAAAAAATACCTCCTGCTCAATATCGTTGTTTAGATCCATTCTTTTGTTGTTCAGGGTTCATACAATCTTCTTTTCAATTTTCTCACAACAGTAGGGCAGTGGCAAAAATGAAATTAAGAGTTTAGTTTCAATATGAATAGACAGTGAAACAACATAATAATTATCAGCATTTTATTTTAATCATAAAGAGATTCAATAAATTGTTACATAAATACAAATAAAAGTATTTTAGTCTCTCATGAATTATTATTATTAAACTATATACATAAATAATATCTTCACATCAGCTTTGTTATATTTCAGATTATGTTTATAAACACTGTAAAATACTATAATTATCTAATATCTGAAGAGAGGAATAATTTCTCTGATCAGTATTGTAAGCTGAATCCAGCCGAATGTTCCAAGTTCCCATTGCGATAAGCAAATTAGAACGTCTTTAATCTCAATTTTAATGAAAGGTATACCCTGCAAATCGCAGAACTTAATAGAGAAACATAAATTCTTTATAAATAATTGCATTTTCGTAAATAATATAAAAATCGTTAAATTTGTTGGAAATTCATGTAGTGATTTCACTTGGATATAGGGAAACAAACGCTTATGATTATGGTAGCAAATTCAAAAAGTGAACGCTTCCATAACCGTTACGGTCTGCCAGCTGTTGAGTGGCTGAACAAAATATATTTTGTCTGTAAACAATAATCGTGCAAAGATGAAACGAAGCATACAGGATATTGTAAAGCAAATATTTTATAATGTTCAATTTGGTAAAACTTGTCATCAGAAGAATATGAAAACGTTGAAGGAACTTTACGAGCACGTAAGATCGTGATAAACAGTCTCTGTTTTTCCTTCACGATTCGCAATTGTTAATAATACCGTTTGAAATTTTAGAACGATCTCACAGAGTTCTGGTCGATTTTTGAGCTGTGCTTCAAAGTTCCTCTGAGTATACCACAACAGCATCCGCGAGTTCAAAATGTTTTAATGTTCATTGCCAAATTTGCTGCCAGCTTGTACATAGTAGCTGAAAATGATGAATCCGAGGAATCCATGTGCCCGTTCCTTGCCAAGCTGTTCGACTTCATTTTAACGAATCATCACGCAAGAGAGACAGGAGTCAGATTTCGTATTTGTCACTTTTTGAACATGCTTTTAAATGCGATGGGTGATCAAGCTTTCATCGATGATAATCTGTGCGATAGAATCACTAATTCCATGATGGAAAGGTTGTTAGATAGATCACCGAAAGTAAGAGTGCAAGCAATATTCGCTTTACACAGACTCCAAGATCCTATGGATGACCAGTGTCCGGTTATAAAAATGTACATGTTTCACGCGTTGAAAGATCCGAATGCTGAAGTTCGAAGAGCAGCCATAAATAATATGGGCAAAAATCAGAAAACTTTGCAAGTGGCAATTAAAAAGACCAGAGATGTGGATGAGAGAGTCCGCAAAGTGGCATATATTTTTATTAGTAAAATAACAGTAAGATCTTTGACTATTATTCAACGAGATCAATTACTAAATGATGGTCTGAAGGACAGATCTGAGATAGTTAAAACAACTGTTAGGAATGTCTTGCTACCTGCATGGCTGAAACATTTCAATGGTGAATATATTAGTTTGATAAAAGCTCTTGATGCTGAAATTGGCACTGATGTGTCAGTGTTAGCTCTGGAGACTTTGTTTAAGTAAGTATTTATATTATAGTTGCTCATATATGAAATTAAATGTTTATCTCGTACGATGAATGTTTCATTTTTGTTTCTCAGGGATGCACAACTGAGTACCTTAATAGAAGAGTTACCGATAGACAAAGAAACGAAATTAATTCCACTGAAGAATTTAGTCAGTGAGAATGCATTATATTGGAAGTGTCTGGCGAGATATGTTCAACGTGAATTCACAGAAGAATTGGAACAAATTTTACCGGAGTTAACAACATTCTGTACATATATCTCCGATTTTATTGCGTTGATGTCTTCGCAGCAAACCAATAAATGGGTGAAAGATATGCAGAAGTTTGTTCTGCTACAATTATTTGAAATAACGACATTTTATGATTTATCGGATGAAGTTGGAAGAAAAAAACTACAAGAATTAATACTGAATACTTTAATGGGCAATCACTGGACCGAGGAAATTATTGAGTGCGTGGTAACACATTTAGTAAAAGTTATACCAGATGTGAACACCAGGTTAGATACTTTAGCGAATGTGATCAGTGATATTAGGTTGCCTTTGAAGGAAACTGCTGTTACACAGATTTCGGAAGAACAACAGCAACAAATTAACTTACAAGTAAGTCTACTCTGGTAAATGCAGTATAAAAACTTTCATTTTCTAATGATAAATTTTATTCAGAAAGCGAAACTGAGGATACAGTTACTGGAATTGAAAGATGAAGAGTATCAAGCGATACAAGACAAAGAGTATTTAAAAGCTGATAACTTAAAAAATCAAATTGATAAATTAAATGAGAAAATAAAAACGCTATCGGAACCTGCTGTGGTGCCAGTTATATCTAACGAGGAAGTTAGAGAAAAATCTGATTCGGATACAATGATCAAATGTTTAAGTATAATATGCACGATGATGCATTCAGTAACATCGTTAACGCCGACACTAAGGGGTCTCATGCAAATATTCCATGACAGTTTAGATGTAAGCACCTGACCGATGTATAAATCTGTTTCAATTTTTAATTTCTAATAGGATCTGTTTTTAGCACCCGAACGACAAGGTACATGTATTGGCGATAAAAGGGATCAGCATTTGTAGCATACTGGACAAGTCGTTCGCCAAAGAACATATATTGATATTGTTCCTACAATTTTCTTTGGAACAAGAGAACAATGAAATTTGGATCATGACTTTAAAGGGAATCTTCGATTTATTCTTGCTGTACGGACTCGACTATTTCGACATCTTAGAAAATGTCAGTGAGGGCGACAGTAATAAAACTGCCAATACCGAAAAATCTCGTACCAAATTGTATACCGATAACGATTCTGAAGTTGCCTTTGAGAAAATGACTCAAAACTTCACTGGGGACGGTAATTGTAATATTATCAACATCTTGACCGAATTATTAGAGAACGAAGTAAGTATATGTTCGACATAGACGTAATATTTATTTAATTAAAAGATGTACAATGGTCGTTCATTATTTAGGATGAAAAATTAAGAACAGTTGCCACGGAAGGCCTCTGCAAATTATTACTCAATCGACGAATTGCTGGCACGAAGCTCATCTCACGATTAATCATATTATGTTTCAATCCCGTGAACGATAACGACTTCTATCTTCGACAATGTTTAAGTGGCTTTTTTAGTAATTTCATTGTAAGGATACCCGATGCGGTGACCCTGTTGGAACAGATCTATTTGCCGACGTTAGCGACCATTTGTAACGCGCCGGAAACCAGTCCACTGCGCGAAGTGGATCCTTACGATATATCGAAATTCATGTTGAATCTGATTCACTTGGGATCTCGTAAACCTGGCCCGCACAACAATCTTGTCTTTACAATTTTGGCGGAAGTGTTGAACCCGGAAAGCAATATCGATCAACAGATGCTGATTGTGACTTTAAAAAATGTTCGTATAAATTTAGAGGACAATGCGGCTAAAGAAGATTTACGGAAAGCTATTGCAGACGTGAAAGATCAGGTAAACGTCTTGTACAAACGATTTACTCTTAGTGCGTGACTTGGTACATCATAAACTGTGTGAATTTATTTGTTTAAGGTTGACCCTTCCGAGAAACGATTACTGCAGTGTATTAGGATCTTTGAAAGAAAAATAGATGCTCCCGAGGATGCCGATATGCCAATGGATGAAGACACGGAAGCTGAAGACAATGATAATTGAATAAGAAATTCCTTTCATAAACGAATAATGGACTGTATTAAATTTAATATTAAATTATGTTTTCTATCATCTTCGAGATCTCGCTTCTTTAAGAAGAAATATTTAACGAGTTAAGTACCATTAATCGGCATTTCATTGCTGCTATTGATTCACTTGTTCAGTTATGGTGTCAATTTTCTATTCGCAATTATAATTGCTTCACTTGCATTCTCACATTTATTCGCTACTCGCAGCCCGCAGCGAATTATTCGCTGCATGAAAACGCATCTTTATATTATGTCAATGGGCATGCCAGTTTGTTTATGGATACCTCAAACTGTTCCTACATAGAGTCACGGGAATCTTGCTTAGTAACCGAATTATAATTGATTCGTGAAATAATGGAGAAACTGGAGAAGCCGCAAATAATTTGCCATATAGAGAAATCCGTGAATTACTCATTATTCGATACGAAATGGATTCCGTGCAGCGCGAAATTCGTGGTTATGGGCTCGCGACCGCGCGGTAGCGGGATAATACAAATTTACGAGGTGTCCAGCGGTGAACTGAAACTTGTTAAAGATATCGAGAGATCACAGCCGATAAAATGTGGAACTTTCAAAGCGTCCAGCTTGAAAGACAGATATTTAGCGACTGGCGATTTCCAGGTATGAATACAAATAATGATATCTCTTTTAAACGATATTAATTATCAGATCGTTCCTCATTACTTTTTACATCTTTTTATTTTTTTAACATTTTATTATTCCTACGTGCAGCCATTCCTTAATGCCACCTTTATTAGGGCAGATTGAACGTCTATAATCTTGAAGATCCTTCAATACCAATTTATACAGCCAATGCTCACAGTGAGATCATAAATTGTATTGACGGTGTGGCTGGGCAAAGCATTGGATGTGGAGCACCTGAATTGGTGACAGGTTCCAGAGATGGAAGCGTCAAAGTTTGGGATCCTAGGCAAAAAGGCAAACCAGTTGCTGTGATGGAACCTAAAGAAGGTGAAACCCGCAGAGATTGCTGGACAGTCACATTCGGTAATTCATACAATTCTGAAGAAAGAATCGTGGCCGCTGGTTATGATAACGGGGACGTGAAGATGTTCGATTTGAAAGCAATGTCTGTTCTATGGGAAAGCAATTTAAAGAATGGCGTTTGCAGCGTGGAGTTTGACAGAAAGGACATTCCTATGAATAAGCTAGTGGCTACTACTTTAGAGTCAAAGTTTTACTTGTTTGATTTAAAGACACAGCATCCTAAGAAAGGATTTGCTTACTTGACCGAGAAAGTAAGAATTAAACTGTAGGAACGAGAAAATAAAATCAATGCAGGTTTAAACAGTAGTCCTTTTTTAGGCACATGATTCAACGATATGGTTGGTCAGACATTTACCGCAAAATCGTGAAATATTTATGACTTGCGGCGGAGGAGGAAGTCTCTGTCTTTGGAAATAGTAAGAATCACTTTTATTCTTGTTTCCAATTTCTAAGAGTTCCACGTCGCTAACAATTTATTATTACAGTAATTATCCGGAGAAACGGAAAATGCCAGATACGGATGGTGTCGATCAAGGAGTCATAGGTGACTTGACTCTTTTACAAAACAGTACACTTTCATCACAGCCAGTCAGCTCCCTGGATTGGAGTCCCGATAAACAAGGCCTGGCTGTCTGCACCGCATTTGATCAATGTTTAAGGGTGATCATCACTACGAAACTTAATACTTATTAAAGTGAACCATCCTTTTTAAGTTCCGCATATATGTAAATAACTATTGATTTTCTTAATTTGTATAAATAAATAATAATCGATAAAAAGCGTTTAACATTGTAAAACTCCTGTTTTACAATTATTTGTAAGTTTCCTCCTCCGATACTTTGGAGTTGGAAACCGTGCTGAATCTTTTAGTCACCTAAGTTGCCGACTACAGGAAACATTTCCTGCGGACCATCGATTTTTGTCTCCGTCGGTGCAATCAAATTATTGTATAAATTCGCAGCACGGGCGGCCAGATAAAAGCGAATTATATGCCGTTAGGCCGATCTGTTTAGGATCAGACCATTATTAAGTCTCAGTCTTCTACCGCGACAGAGTTACGCAATCGGCAAGTCGCCATGTTGGAGCTCGAGAGGAGCCCACGCCAAATGCACTCATACTACATTGTCGCGCTGCAGCCTCGGCCGGCTCGCGTTCAGCCGTACAAGGTCAGGAATACCGCGAGTTTAATTACATAAACTAGCTATTGGCTATTCCCCTAACTCAGCGACGCGTCACTCTTGCGCATTCTTTTCGTCCCTCGCCCTCTCGCTGGCGAAGCTGCGCGCGTTCGAATTGGATCACGTATTTAATCTTGGCTTCGGCGTTCTCCAAAATGGCGTTTCGTATGCGCATCCGAATTTGTATCAACCTGCGTTACAGCGCTATGCAGTGATCAATGATCAGAGTCAACATGAATATACTGAACGCTCGGTCTATTCTCCTATCTCTATGTTTTCAATTAGCGATTTGTACGATAGAAAGAAAGATTAAGGAGGTAAGGATTCAACGGGTACGAAGTTTATTTTCTTACATGGAAAAATATCTTTATTGGTCTTATCGCATATTTGTGAAATTGTTCTGGGAATGACAGTTGATAAAAATTCATGAATGTATGTAAAATATGAATAACAATCGGTAAACGATGGAGTGCATTTTCTTCCTTACAGTTGCAAGTAGTTCTCAACTGGTCAGTCGTATTTATGTAACAATACATATTCTTCCATATAAGATTCTATTTGATGCAAACGTCGGCGCAATTAGAACGCTAACTTCTTCATGAGGAGGTACATGTGTTGATCGATCTCGAAGCCGTGTAGATTGTTCGCGTCACCCTGTAGCCTCATCAGAAGTCCACCGAAAGACACGTAGGCAGATCTGCAGCAGAAGAAAGAGCGTTAGTCTGAATCATCTCATTCATAAAATTTGCATGTGATTTATTATGAAATCGATTGCTAGTTCGTCTACTGTTACGCT